GTCTCCAGTGAGTATGAGGAGCCAGCTAGAGGACATAGCGAGCCCTGTCTGAAACTTCAGATGATGTCGGAGGCGTCCGAAACACCGGCTGGCTCAACAGATCAACTGGACATGATTTTTGGGGATGTCGCGTCATTGAAAAGCTTCGACTCCCTCACCGGCTGCGGGGACATCATTGCAGATCAAGAAGATGACAGCATCACAGAGAGTACAGTCTCTGGAGAGAGGAGCAGAAATGGAGGAAAGAGGGCTTCTTGTTATCTTACTTATCAGGGAGGCGGCGAAGAAATGGCCTCGCCTGAGGATTTGGATGAAACTTGTCTTCAGGATTTCTGGGGGAACAATAGTTCAAAGGAGGTCTGCTACAGTTGCAATCAAGACCACACAGACGTGACTGTTGAGCTGACGACATCCCACAATATGGACTTGCTGAATAGTAGCAGCGGACAGCAAGCCGGTGGCATGGACTCCTCCTCAATTGCTGATGTATTAACTCCTCAAAGTGAGCATCAGGAGTCAGTTCCAAATAGTGATGAGGGCTACTACGATTCAACTACACCAGGGCCAGAGGAAGGACGAGAAAAAACGGACAGATTTCAAACAGAAAGGCTACCCAGGGACAGTTACAGCGGCGATGCCCTTTATGAACTTTTTGCGCCTGACGAAAGTCTCGTGAGCCCACGTTATGAAAGCAAATCCAAACTTCCCATTTCAAAACTGGGTGACTATTCAAGTCAACCAGCTGATGTTACAGATTCAGCCTTTGTCCCAGAAATGAAAAAATTACAAATAAGTGCAGAATTATATAAAGTTCATGATTTTCTGGAGATGCCCAGCACATGCAGTAACTCCTTGGAGTTGGCACACAGTGTGGTTTGTCGGCCAGAAATCGCTATGAATAAAAACTGTAACTTGAACTCAAAAGCCCAAGCTTCAGTCAGAGTAGATCATATAGAGCTGCATATATATGATCAAAAAGAAGATGTGCTTGCTTCCAGCGAAAAAAGAGCCAAATCCATAAATGCTGACACTGAGAAAAGGCATAGCAGCTTATCATTCCAAAGCATGTCTGACCCAGACTTTGAAACGTTTTGTGAACCCAAAGAGGAACATCTCGAGGAAAACAAGCCTGTGGCTTTACCGTACCGAAATATCACTTCTCCATCTGAAGATTCTAACAACGACATGGACGATGGGCAAACTGTGTGTTTTTCACAGGCACTTGTGGACTTCACAAAACACACTCAAATGTTGAGCAACTTGCACGACAATGTGGATGACTTGGAGACAAATTCTGCCATCACTCCAAATGTGGAGGCCTTGCCTACCATAGTCACGTTTGATGTAGTGGATATGCATAATGAAGGTGAATATGATGAGCAGATTCACATGGAACTGGAGGAGGACATTTCATCGCCCTATCAGGAATTTGAGGAAAGCTACCTACAAAAGGATGCATTTGCTGAATGTGACTATCAGATGTTAGACCTATATGAACAGAACATGATCAGTAATACATGGGCGGTTGCCAGTCTCCCACGGCACCTCGGCCTTACAAGAGTCAGTCAGTCCATGCCTAACCCATTGTCTCTAGAGAGGAGAAGTAGGTCTCTGGACACAGAAAGCCTTGAGTTGAAGATGCCTGACTTGTACAGAGAGAACAGAGATGCTATCGTTTCCTGTCCTCAGACAGAAGAGGACTTGGAGAGAGATGCCTCACCATATTACAAGAAGAATGTAGTCGTGTCTGCATCAGAAGTTCGACACAGCAGCAACACTATGGCCTTATCATGGCAAGCGAGGTCAGAAATGGCTTTAAGCCTTCCTCTGACAGATGGGGAAATCGGTGAAAAGATGCAGAGTCTCAGTCAAACCCAAGTACATAAACACAACATATTCTCTGTCACATCCAGCAGTGAATCCCAGCGTCTTTGCTCTAATATGTCAGACAGCATCTCCTGTGATTTACTTTCACCAAACACTGAGCTTTACAATAGACAGTGCCACCCTCCTTTGCAGTTAGAGTCCTGTTTACCTCATAGCACTTTTGTTTATTCTGGAATGATGGAGGACGTAGCCGATGATATTGATGACAATGTTTTTTGTCAGACTGCCACTAATTTGCAATCCTATAATCAGTGTGGTAAAAGTCACCAGGTTGCAATGTCTCATACTGGGAGTCCTCTGAGCACATGTGTGTCTAAGGATGAAATGTCCACCATCAGTGAAACAAGAACACCGAGGGATGTGGTGTGACCTGTAGCCTTCAACAATCTTCCTGAGGCAACCTTGAAGTGGAAGGCTCTCAATTTTTCAGTCATACAGTTATTATAACATGTATATTTGCCAGCGAGTGTTTTTATGGTCAACCAATGGAGGAATGGTTGTTCAATTTTTATTTGCACAACTGCTTCCATTGAAAGGTTGTTGACACTGTGATAGAATGGAAGTGGAATGAAGTTTGGGAGTGTGTGACATCATTAGCACAGTGCTCGGAAGTCAGATTTTTCTGACTTTATTCAGATTTTTCTGAATTTTCTGCATTTGCACAGTGAACAGTAGGTTATGTCAAACTGGTTACATATATGGTAGTCCATCAAAGGCATTTAAGGGAGTAGTTGTTTCATTTGCATTTGTATTGAATCATCTCATTAAGCTATTGAATTTCACTAGAATGTTCATGCCCACGTGTAGCCTCGGCATCCAGGCCTCAACAATAATGTCATACTTCGTTTTAGTGGGTATTCATTAGCCTGGTGTCCAGGCTGACCAAGTCCTGCTTACTTTGCCAGTTGCCTCTAAACACATGAATGCTTATGCTTTTAATGCCGGCTTATGTTTGTATTTCCTTTTCTTGCTTTTCCACAGCCTATTGCTCTCATGAGGGTTATGTTAGTCCCTCTATGCTATTTTTTTTTGCCATACTGGTTTAAGGAAAGGCCAAAAAGAAGTGTTAGAGAGAAGCACCTCCATGGGGTATATATGAATCACATTAAGCTGTTTCTATTTTTATCTTAATCTCAAAATGCAGGTAATTCTTACCAGATCCAGAACAAGATGAGCAGGTATTAGAAATGTACAGACAGTCATAGTTCATGCTTCAGCTGCTATTTGCTTTACATACTGTAGATAGCTTTGCAGAGCAAAGCTACATTATTTGTATAGCACATTTTACATGCAGATACCCTGTTTGTGAAAATGTTCTGCAGTAGTGCGTGTAGAAACAGCTAAGAAGTTAAATATGTTAAAAAAATGGTTAGAGGCAACAAAATTAAAGGGAAAAAGCTACTATCAGCCACAAGCTTAATGTTTGTTTGTAGACTGACAATCCAATCTGGCCTTTTTTCTGTTTAGTGTGTGTGTGTGTGTGTGTGTGTGTGTGTGTGTGTGTGTGTGTGTGTGTGTGTGTGTGTGTGTGTGTGTGTGTGTGTGTGTTGTTGGCTTATTTTACAACAGCTTGACCACCTGTGAAGTGCAGAATTCTTACTAAAATGTTGCACTCCATATTTGTGCTACTGTAAGCTTGCAGAATGAACAAATGGCCTAGTTTTTGTTTTTTATTTTTCTTTTTAATATAAACTGCTATTTTGTCCATGTATCAGTTTCTTGTGCATTACTGTTTGTTCAGTCAGAGGTTAAATTGTCAGATGATTGTCATAGATTTTTTTTTTAACAGTAATATTAAAAGAAATGTCAGAGAATTTGTATTTATATCCTAAGCTATTTGTACACTGTAACATGTATTCCGGATTATTGCAAATTCCTTTTTTGTTTTTCTTTTGTAATAGTTTTACAGTTATATTCAATTCATGTTACAGTGGGAAATTTCTCTTGAAAATCTGTTACTTATTGAAATGGAAACACTGCCTTAGGTAAAAATAAAGAAGCCAAAACGTTTTCCATTTTCACTCCTCTTGTTTTCTTGCACTCTTATGTTTCCTTACAAGATTTTAAAACAGAACAGGTGGAGGACAAAAGAATAAGTGGTAGGCCTTAAACATGATCTACTGCAGATGGACAGTGCCTGAATATCATGTCCTTAAGAAGTAGGGAAAACGTCCAGGATGGAACCTGACTGATGCATCTGGTCAGAAGAGGGGTACAACCGTGGGTATCTACAGCAATCTGTAAAACACTCTGGAGGCTGTGTTGTGGATTGGAACTGCATTTCAAATAGTGGTGTTGGAGGTATTGTCAAATTAAGAACAAAGAGAAGTAAGGTCAGATTTTGATCCACCTGCAATTCCATCTGGAAAGTGACTAATTGGCAACAGATTCATTTTTAGCATGACAATGATCCCAAGCACACTTCCAATACAGTAAAAGTGTACCTGGATGATTCAAAACAAAATGACTATATAGCTCATTGATTGGCCTTCCCAAAACCGGAACCTCAAAATTACTAAAGCAGTGTGTGATCATCTTGACAGAGAACAGAATTCCTTTCGAAAAGCCTGGAGAACTATTTCTGAAGACTACTTATAAAGTTACAGGAAAACTGCCTAATAGTGTTCAGGTTGTGTTGAAAAATAAATATTGACATTCAAGCTTGTTAGAAATGAACAAACTCAGTATTTGCCCTGTTGTATATTTCCAATTATGTTTGCACATGTTTAAGTACATTTCTACACTCAATTCCCATTATCCTAGCAACAAATAAAGAAAAGGGTGACTTAAGAGTCTTGACACGCTACTGTATATATTGAAAGTACATGACAATAGTAAGTCACTCAATGCAACAAAAACAGGGCAGTTGGGCTACATTGCACTTCTTATAAGAAATAACACCTTGATCGGTGTTTATAATAAAGAGCTTCTCGTCATAGAATGTTTTTCAGAAGGCAACGAAAACAAATGTGCTTTTGTGTTTTTGCTTTGGAAAAACGACAGTTCTCAAACTATCACTACACGCAACCAGGAAAAAAAAGCATCGTGAATGTTTGATAAAAACGCATGCTGAGAGAGCAGGAGGAAGAAATTGGCTATTTTGACCCTGGTGGCTTTTCACAGTTAAGGTTACTTGTTTCCTTCGCCTTATCTGGCAACCCTGACCAAACTGCGACAGCGCCAATGGCAGCAAAACATAACTGTTACAGGCGAGGAGGATGACAGCAACAAGGTGAGATGAGCATCGTTTGAATTCAGCGATGGCGGTGATATACGTGCAGAATATGTAAGGCATCGTAACGTATTGGTTTTGTTTTAGTTACATCTGAAATGTTAAATGAGCGTCAACTTTACCTTAAGTTACTATAGTATTCCGGCAAAAATGTTAGCACACGCTCAGCAACTGAAGCTAACTCACGTTAGCATATTACCCTGTGATGCCTCTGAGATGGCTTTATGTTAGCTCAGTCGCGTTACCTAGCGTTGCTACCGTTAACCAAATAAGAGACCTGGCTTCATTGACAAGGTTGTTGGTTAACTTGTAGCTTGCAATAGGCGTTTTCGGCCGTTCTCAAGCCATTGACGAATAGGACAACCCCTGTCAAGCTGTTGTTTTTATGTAGCGAAAATGTTGACTCCAGTTGTCTGAGTAGACTGGCTTGCTAGCGTATGCTAACCACAGCCCGGGGCCTAAGGGTGTCAAAGCAGTTCTCTTGAATCAAACTGACTTTCAAAGACGACGTCTTGTGCAGTGGTCATGTTACAGCGCTATTGTAAAGAATGCGTTGTAAGTACAAACTGTCTTATAATGACATGTTGTTTAACCTTCCTTTCATCCCTCTGAACTCATGATGCTGTTGCTAAAGATATCAAGCACTTGAGGTTTTTGTATTGACGTGTCAGCTTGTTAGCAGAATCATTGCACACACACAGCCCACCAAAGTTCATTCAGCAGTTCAGGAGGGTCACTAGGATTCATGTTCCATTTTAACCTTAGTTACAAGTCATGTAGTTTGTTTCCTGTAGAGGCAAAAACTTGCTCAATCTGAAAATGGACTTCAGTCGTCACATGTAATTTTGTCTGCTGTCACTGTCCAACTTAGTGTGTGTTTTTGTTTGGATGCGTTCATGAAACACAGGATTAAATAGAGGAGTCTGTAAAATTCTGTAAAAGTCTGATTTGGCGCTATATAAATAAAATTGAATTGAATTGTAAAAATGCATTTAAAAAAACAGCTAAACTGGTTAAGAAAAAATCTGTCAGCAGACCAAAGTTGGTTGGACCTTAAGTGGTTAATAATATCCAAAATTTAACTTGCTGGGAAGAGTGATCATGCTTTAAAGACCTAAACATATTTTCATGATTTATACTTTTGTTTGTATCACTATAATTTGTTATAATTCAGTTTTATTTAATGATTGCATGAAGCAGAAACACCCTTGTGTCTTTAAGCACAGCAATCTATAAATAATGATGATACTTGGAAGAAACACCTTCCTTCCTGCTTGCCATGGATTATAACTGTAACTGTAAGTGACAGAAATCCACTAAGATAACTGCTGAAAACTTGATGAAAGTTGATGATTAGGCCATATGATGAAGAAATTAACATTTTAAAATTTAAATTGAAGTTTGTTTTGTTGTATTTTTTCTTCTTTTTTTGCAGTAAAAACTGCTGTTAGAGCTTGTGGAAATGTAGTGCCAACCAGCATTAATTCTTCTTGTTATACATCAGATGTCTGAAACACTGATCAGGGTCAGTGAGGAAATGACATTTTATCTTTCTTCACTGGTTTCTCTGGATGACATTTTATTTCCTTCTTATAATGAATCATATCCAAGTAAAAAAAAAATCTAAATGAAGTTATTTCCAATAAAGTTCCAGATCATTGTTACGCACCCTTATGCTAGTACAAATAATATGCACATGTTGTCTTCTTGTCTTCTATTGATTTTTGATACTTTAATTGGTGAGCCACAGATGTAGAGCATCTTCCTATTGCAGTTTTGGGGTGGTGGAGTATGTTGAAGGAGTATGTAGGACGTATGTTTACACAGAGTTCTGGAAACTGGCCGTGCTGATTATGTATTTACATTTTGTTTAGCAAAACCACAAAATATGAGAACAAGGATCGAAAGATGTAATGTTTTCTTAGTTCTATGTAAAGTAATGGAAAAGTGTACCAAAGTAACAATTTTAAATTTATTTTCTTTATCACACTGGTGATTTAGCTGGTGGTTTAAGGCGTCAGCCTTGATTTCAAGATGTATAACAACACAAGCATTAAATGTAACACCAGCTTGCTGTGTACTGCAGTTTATTCCTGGTTTGTTCTGGATACTAATGTTGGGTCAGCTTCACGAAAGATGGCTTCACGGGCCTGCCTCACTTGTTGCTATGAAACAGATCTGCATGAGCCTGTGTGTGTGCAGGGATAGTCTGGAGGTCTTGCTGAGACTAAGCCTGTGAATCTGGAGGTGGAAGGGAAAGGATTGAAAGAGCTCTAGCTCTTTTTAAACACGTATTCATGTGCTCATAAAATGTTGTAAATGACAGTGGGTTGTGTGAGCTTTTGTACTGTGTCTGCCACTAATCCTAGAAGTTCCACAACAGTGCCTCATCGCCCTCTCCTTCGTCCTTCTTACAGCTGCGTGCTTAGATATTCAAACCATGGTTTGTTCTGTCCTTACACAAGTAGTGATGAGGAATGAGACTAGGCTCTATTGATGCAGTAAGCCTACACAAAACACTGACATCACAAGGTATGCTTGTTTAGCCATAGATTGACCTTCAAAGTAGCTCCCATGAATGTCGGTGCCTGTGCAGTGTTTTGCCAATACAGTGACGAAGTGTTATTACATGAGCCAGTGCTTAGAGTCAGACAAATGATTCAGTCAATTTTCACAATGCCAAGACTGGCTTTTCTTTTTATAATGCTCACCCCAAACAAAGGTCTAAATGTGAGTTTTAAAATTTTTTAAATCACCGCTTCATGAGTTTTGATGTAGAGTTGTATCGCAGCTGTGGTGTTCTGCATTTACTGGCTGCGTGAAGAGAGATGATGAGCTGTGTTTGTGTTAGTCGTGACTGGTAAAAAAGAGTTAGCTGATGACAAGGCTGTGTTGCTAAGCAACTCACATCATGGGCTGTGCCTCTTGAAGCTCGAAGCTGGCTGTACTGTCTCTGCAAGACTGGGGGGAAAGTGTAGTATAGTGTGTGTGTGTGTGTGTGTGTGTTCAGTAGAGTGCTTACCATGGACTTTATTTGATTATCAATATCCATGTGTAAAAACAATGTGCACTCTGAGCCGTTGGCAGCGTGTTGTGGTTTAGACTCCGAGCACCCCAAAATCCCTGCAGTGCTTTACCATAAAACAGCTTTGCTCCCTGTGGAATTCTCCTCAATTCAGATTGATTGTCAGGGGATTAGTGGTGCAGGCTTACACTGTTCAGCCCACACTTTGTCTTAGGTTATGTTAACTCGTGTACTTACACCCCATGTATGTCTGGCTTCAATGTTGCTATGAAGTTAAAATATGGTGTTTATTTTAAATACCTGTGTGATTTGTATGGGGTTTTTTTTTTTGGGGGGGGGGATAGTTTGTTTTTTTTGTTTTTTTTAACCAGAATGTTGTGATTTTCATTTTAAAACCAGAAAAATAGAAGGACTTTGCACTAGGCAAGAGATCAGTGACACTTTAATGTTTATATCTTTGGCTTTTGTTTGAGATTGTTGTATCTGTATGCTACATGAAAATAAGCAAAGAAATATACACAAATCTGTTTAGGTTTATTGGTAATTTTAGTTTATAAATGCAACACCTTGTCAGGTGCTTTGCTGTAGTTTGTAATTACTGCTTAAGATACATAATTGGTGGTCAGATTTTTATGAATTAGTGGTCTGTGTGTGTGACATGTTACTTTTCATTAAAAATGCAATAAAGCATAGTTTTGTAGTTATAATTTTATAGTCAAGTATAGTTTGGGGATATTTCAAGTGAAAATAAAATGATTTTTTTTTGTTGTTGGAGGGAAGTAGGAAAAGTTCAGTATGTTCCTCCATTTGTCAATGAGTAACGATGCCTGACGGCTACCAAAAACAAGCGCTGCTTTAACTCTTTCACCCCATAAAGATGATATATGAGGATCTCCCCAGTACACTTAGTGTGATCTCTGACTTCATTATTAACTTCTGATACTGAGTCATTTTGTTCTATAAGCAGGCCTGAAATGTGACAGAAAAGGGCTTCAACGGTTACTCCTAGTAGGCTTTGAAAGGGTAAAGAGTAAAAACATTGCAGTTGTGGCCCCCAGCATCATAATTAAGGGGAAAACCCACCCATGGCAGTTATTTGCTAATTAAGAATCCAGTGTCTCATATAGCAGTGTCAGGCAGACCAGTCAGCATGTGTGATTATTGTGCTTCATTTGCCTGAATAATTCAGTCACTTACTGCAGATGGTATTGTTTCTTGCTGGTGGAGAACTTACTGGTCTACCACAAGTAGGGGCAGAAGACTGGGGCTCAAAAGCGTTTTCCCAGGTTTTATTGGAATTTGTTAGAAGACATAATTATAGACTAATTTGATATATATTTCTGAGTTTAGTATTCTTAGTGTTTTCTATTAAATAATCTCAAGTACTTACTTTACCTTTCAACATTACCTTTATTATGTATAAAAGAAAGCTGGGAGCACCTACTGTACTTACAACTGAAAATCTGCCACCCCTTCTAAGTTAGTATTACGCTGGACCATCCTGGAACCAAAAGCAAATCTCTGATATGGGACCCTCCTAATCTGCCATGCAATCCAGTGGTTCTGTTTCCATACCACAGATTGTACTAAAGATTGACATCACTCATTGGTTTACAAACTCCTGTTCTAAAGCCCTGAAATGGGCATTTTCATATGAGCACAGTCGCTTTGAGGCACTTATAGTGTAAGGTAAAGACCTTACAATAATAAAGATAAAACCCAACAATCAAACAACCCTCTTTGACCAAGCACTTGGCAACAGCGGGAAGGAAAACTCCCTTTTAACAACTCAGGATTTCTATTTATAAATTGTCACAAACAACAGGAATGCATATATATATTCGTCAAATAAGATAAAATAACATTGTCTTCAAATGTGGACCAGCCATAGTTGCCACACAAAAACCCCCATTTTAGGAAAGGAGGGGTCAAATCTAACAACTATATCGTTGTTAGATTCATTCTGGTATCTTCCCCCAGTGTCTTTTTTTGGTCCAACTTCAGATTAGGTGCTCAGGAAAAAAAATGATTGATGAAAGAGACATATTGACCCTTATTTTTGTTGCTTTCTTGCAGGATTACATAATTTGATTTTACCTGCTCACACAGTAGAGGCCGTAACCCTTGGCCTGGAGGAGAAGCCTGCAGTGCTAACAGTCCATCCCTTAGCATGATTAGCTGGTTGTGGTGGAGGTGAGGAAGCATGGAGTGGAAATTTGGGGTGTCAAGACAAACGTGATGACAGCATGGTCCATGGTGGAGAAGCTCAAAATGGAAAAACGCCCGTGCAGGGAGGAGAACATTGACTCAAGCGAGGCGCAGCATGCCACTGACGAGTCTGAAGATGGAAGCAGCTCAGATAGCGAATCGGAAGAGCAGCAACATCGGAGGGTTCAGGTGAACAGCAGTAGCTGTAAGAGAAGGGAGCCACTGGCTGTAACAAAACCCCACCGACAGCTCTGTCGCTCCCCATGCCTTGATCGGCCCAGTTTTTCCCAGAGTAGCACTGCGCAAGACTTTCGTGAGGATGAGACCAATGCAGTACCAGGGGCTAAGCCCGCCAGTGAGCGAGAGTACCAGACTAAGATGGAATTTGCTTTGAAGTTGGGCTATTCAGGAGAGCAGGTTGAAACTGTGCTCCACAAGTTAGGGTCTGCTGCGCTTATTAACGATGTTCTTGCCGAGTTAGTACGGCTCGGAAACAAAGCAGAGCCTGAAAACCAGTCTTGCAGCAGCAGTACAGCCACGTCAATATCATGCTCCCCCTGTGTTAAAGAGACTGTTAGTCCCGAAGTGTCAGTGGAAGAGGAATCTGTGGATAGTTTTGATAACCTCAGGCCTATCGTCATCGATGGCTCAAATGTGGCAATGAGGTGAGGGACACAGAGACTTAGACTCACATTGAACTGGTCTGTGCTCTGTGCAGAATAAACTTATTGTCCTGAAGTATTTTCCTTTAATAGTCAGCTGTTCCATGAAGTTAACTAAACCTAATACTGTTATGTTTTGATAGCCACGGAAACAAAGAGGTGTTCTCTTGTCGTGGCATCCAGCTTGCTGTTGAATGGTTTCTGGAGAAAGGACACAAAGACATCACTGTGTTTGTTCCAGCCTGGAGAAAGGAGCAGTCAAGACCTGATGCCCTCATCGCAGGTGACTGTGCATTCACCTTACATCATAACACTGGTGCTATTTAAAGAGCAGCCTTTTAACTTGCACCTGTTTATTTTAATAAACCGTTACCAAACTGATACACATAAACTCACTCAGTATTCCTCTTTCAGATCAAGAAATCTTACGCAAGCTGGAGAAAGAGAAGATCTTGGTTTTCACCCCGTCTCGGAGAGTTCAAGGCAGGAGAGTGGTGTGCTATGATGATCGCTTCATAGTGAAGCTGGCTTATGATTCTGATGGAATTATTGTGTCAAATGACAACTACAGAGACTTGCAAAATGAGAAGCCAGAATGGAAGAAATTTATAGAAGAGCGACTCCTAATGTACTCATTTGTCAATGACAAGTAAGAAACTGTTACTGTCATTTTATGGCATAGCTATACTATGTAAAATGCTTTCATGAATACCACTTTAGACTGTACAAATAAAGTGTCTTTTTAGAAACGTGTCGGGGTTGTTTTATGTAAATAAATCAACAAAATAAAGACTATATATGTTGCATGAACTGTTGCATTTTTATATTGTGATCTATAATAGACAATAGGAGTTTTTGAATTCTATTCTGTGGTAGACCGTTTTGCATTTAATAATAAATATTTTTGCTATTAGGTTTATGCCACCTGATGATCCATTGGGAAGACATGGACCAAGCTTAGAAAATTTCCTGCGCAAACGCCCTGTTGTTCCAGAGCACAAAAAACAACCTTGCCCTTATGGTAGGTTCTTTCTTCAAAATACTGCTATTCTGTCTGGGTATTCAATGTGTTTGATTTTCTTAACTTAATCTTCCATTTCTTTGTACAAGGGAAAAAATGCACATATGGACACAAGTGCAAGTACTATCACCCAGAGCGTGTCAACCAGCCACAGCGCTCCGTGGCTGATGAACTACGGGCTTTTGCCAAATTGTCTGCAGTGAAAACAATGAGTGAAGGGGCTTTAGCTAAATGTGGGATTGGTCCAGCAACAGTAAAGGGGGACAGCAGCTCTGAGGCCAAACGCGTGGCACCCAAACGGCAGTCTGACCCGAGCATTCGTTCAGTGGCCTGCGAACCTCCAGAGGCACTGTCCGCCATTAGGAAGTCTGAGACAAATTCAGTGCCTTCCCTCGTGTCTGCTCTCAGTGTGCCCACAATGCAGCCAGCCAAGAGCCACGCAGCTGGTGCCTTGAACACACGATCAGCCAGCAGCCCAGTGCCAGGTTCTTTGCAGTTTTCTCACAGTTCTCTGGAGCACATGTCTAGTGTACAGTACCCTCCTATTTTAGTTACTAATAGTCATGGCGCCTCTGTAACATATAGTGAACAGTTCCCAAAGTATGACTCAGTTAGTGACCATGGCTATTATTCACTGCACAGTGATTTTTCAAATATGAGCATGAGCAGCATGCATAATGTTGACAGTTTCTGTAGCATGGAGCACGAGCATGTGTATCAGAGAAACCCCAGCCACTGCCCTGAATCCTGCCTCAGCCATTCAAACAGTGACTCGTTCTCGTCTTATGGGGACCTGTACCCAAGCTCTGTGGACAGTAGCTTAGAGGAGAGTATGAAGGGGCAGCAGCAGTCTCCCGCACAGACTAGGATGCAAGCGTTCTCCCACGGGTTTCGTCATGAAGCGCTGACTAGGGTACAGAGTTACGGACCAGAGGAGCCCAAGCAAGGCCTACGTAAGCAGGCTGGGTCTCATCTAGCACCACATATCCAGCATGCTGCAGTGGGAGCCAGGTCCAGCTGTCCTGGAGATTATCCCCTAACTCAGAATGTTCTCCCACCTTTGTCCTCACAACCCACACGCTCGCTAGGTATGACTCGTATGGACAGCATATCGGATTCAAGGCTATATGATAGCAACCCAATGAGACAGAGGCGACCTCCACTGTGCCGTGAGCAGCATGCAAGCTGGGACCCTCTCCCTTGTGGTAATGAGTCCTATGAATATCATTCATATCCACTGAGTAACAGCTTGATGCCATGTTGTGAGCGGGTGATGGTCCGCAGCATGCCAGACAAAATGGAACAAATCTGGAACTCGCCATGGGAGGCCCCATCTGGAGCTGAACACCAAGAGCGGTATGCTATCCCTGACCACCAGTATCAAACATACAGGAACCTTTGTAACATCTTTCCTGCCTACATAGTCCACGCTGTAATGGAGAAGAACCCTCATTTGACAGACCCGCAGCAACTTGCCGCTGTCATTGTTACAAAACTGAGGTCATGCCACTGAAAAGTTAATTGTATGAAACCTTCAAAATGGATTTAATAAGAGAAATGAGGATTTCTTTGCAAAGATAGGCACATGTTAAATGTTGCTCCATGTGCAATGTCTGCCCTCAGGAGTTAGTTGTTTTTAAATGTTTCTGGTAGGATAGAGGACATTTTTGTATGAAGTGGGGTGTAGCTGATACAAGCCAACACCTTATTAGAAATCTGGTTCATAACGTATTCATACTACCTGAGCAGGAACAGGGAAGCAGCGTCTGTTTAACATGAAAGGTAATTCCTGTATTGTCGTTAACCTTTGGCAGTACTGAATTTAAATGATGTTACATGTTGTACAAAGTTGTAGAGGCTGAAAACAATATGAAATATTCAATCCGTTTTGTAAAATATATAAATAAAGTAATGTGTGAAATAAAGTAAAATAATGAAATCTAAACTCATATGTATTTATATATACAGATGACACCACCTGTCACCTTTTAATCAGTGTTCAGCTTTCAAGGTAAAAAGCTGTTAACAGAATTAACATTTTTTGCTCTTGTTAGCTGTAAAAGTCATTAAAAATGAACTCCGTGAAACACACAACACAGATAAAGTAAACTTTTAGATTTCCTTTTATTATAAGGCTGCAAAGGCCACTTAGCTAACAAGCTAACATTCTAGGTAGGTTGTAAGCACAGAAGACAGTTTATTATAGGAATTCAAATTGGCTGATTAATTCAGAGAGCAATCTTTTAAAGACCAAAAAACACTAAAAGCCATCATTTATTTCTTCATTTCAAATCAACAGCTTGATATTGGCACTTGTGAGCTAATCGACAAGCTTGCTAGCTAGTCAGCATTAGTTGGCAAACACAGTAACAAAACTAAGGAAGTTTATTTATTTATTACCCTTTATTTAACCAGGAAGGTCCCATTGAGATTAAAAACCTCTTTTTCAAGGGAGACCTGGCCAAGATAGGCAGCAGCAGATGTCTCACAGTTACAGAAATTACTCAAACACAGGCAGCATCAACACACATGCAACAATAAGTGAAAGAATACAAATAAAATAAAAACTAAATTCAAATAAAAAAGTCAGTTAAAATGACAATCAATCTAATTGAAACTGTTACATGTTATGGACTTGGCCTCAAGGATTCGTAGTTTAGATTTAAAAGCACTTAATGAAATGAATTCAGTCATTTACTTCTTTATTTGATATCGCTAGCAAGAGGTATTTAAAATATGTATCTGTATTGAGATGAAGTCATAAAAATACTAATTGGACATTTGAAATATTACTTTAAACTTGATTTTAACCATCAAACAGTTCCAGAAGTTACTGTATTTTACAGAAGTGAACATGTTTATTTCATTTAGAATTGTATTGCTGGGTTCTGTTTGTAGACAGCTTACAATCATAATTTAAGACTAAAGTGAACCCTAATGTAATTGTAATTAATTTCTGTAATATTGAATGCGCGTATCAGTGTGAACAATTGAATGAGTAAACGAGTTAGGTAAATATCAGCACGGGAAATAATTACATGGTCCTATCTCCCACATTTTTATGAAGATCCTGTTCAGGTGCTTTGAATGCGTTATGAAAGGCATTTAAAGTGTTTCTGATGCAGTGGAACTATAAGTAACCATGCAGTCTGCCTCTGCTGTAAATAATATTTATGATATGTTTTCTTTTGTTTGTTTGTTTGTTTGTTTAGGGGGGTTTTGGGGGGGGGGGATTTATTTTGAAGATGAGTAAGAGGGAGGTAGGTATATACCTCACAGCATGAACTATGACATTTTATGGCCTTATATCTGAGTGACCTCACACTTATTCATTGTCCAATTGGTTTCGGTGAACGTCTTTGTCATTGAAGCCTCATAATTTCAAATGTAAAGCACTATCTCAGTATCTAAAGAGATATATTTTCTCAGCCTCACTTAACAAAGCTACTATTTTGGTAGAATTTGACAGTGCACAAAGCAAGCCAAAAAAATTATTTGACTTGTATATATGTGCGCATGTACATATGATCACAGAAAAGCCATTATTTCAAAGTCATTTATAAGCTGCTAAATAATGCCAAAAAAATAATTTATATATTGTCAGTATTCAAAATAATTTTAGTTCACAGGATCAATTCGATTATAGTATAAAAAGAGCATATGTGTTTGGATAGTTTATATAGTGTACTGTATAGTTGGCTGTCTGATTTTATTGGATGCTACATCCAGGATTTTCCTCTTTATAAAATTGTCATATCTGTTGTGCTAATCCTTTTCAGTGTGAAGTATTCAAAGTATCTTTGTTTCACGCAGTAGTTCTATTGGACTTGTTCAAGTTGCCGCTGGAGCAGTTTGTTTTCAGGTGCAAGTCAATTTATTTTCTAACTACTTTTACATGCACCTTGATAGTGTGATCATTTGAGCTTTAGTCAGTTACCTAATTATGATTAATAAAAAAAAGAATTTGAAATTGTTGTCTTCACTTTAAGTCATCAAGTGCTAATGTCCATGACACACCTAAGCCAGGGAAGGTGGTATCACTGTGGCAGTTATCTAGCAAAAATCCAAGATTACTGCATCTAAAGTTATTATATCCAAAGTCTAGTCCAGTGTGTGGTGAACAAATCTATGGATTTTAATATTAAATGAAGTGGTTTAGTGTATTAAATTGAACAAGTGCATTTCTAACATTAAGAAGGTTTTTAGATGGAAATATGCATGCAGTAAAACATGCTCCCCTATAATAGAGCACATCTCCTCACATTACATTTAGTTCAGTTGCGCCTGTAAGAAATATTTTCTTGTAGAAAGTAATTTCTTATATAATGTACATGCACTTAAAATATGGCAAAGTTGATTGAAACTCCAGAAAGGAGACTTTTTACTCCGTCAATATTCCTGTGCACCTAAATAAGTCATCCAATCTTATGCCGTTACCTGACTTCCAGCTTCCTCTCATGTGCATGTAAATGTGGTAAACTGAGAATTCATTGCTCCTGGCTATGATGTGACTTTAGTAGGGACATTGGAAGTTGTAGAAGTATATTCTTTGAGATGGAAACAGTGTTTACTATCACAGTTAAATGTTTGCACACGGAATTCTGATACCGACTGAACTGAAGTTATTTATCAGATAACTCTGAGGATCTGGCTTAAATAGTTAGGCCTGGTAGTAAAATAAATATTCTGATATTTTGTAACGTATTAGGTTTAAATAACAAAAAATTGAATGAACACATATTAAATACATTTCTGTGAATGCTTGAAAGCATGTTGGAGATGAAAGTTTCTGTATGGCTTTTTATAGGAGGCTGGACTGCTAATATACAGATGTACAATACACATACGTGCAGCTGGTCTCTAAGGATTGTAGAAAGATTTGGCTGTGCCTTGCAGCACACTGCTCTCAGGATGCTTTCACTTTTCTAATTTTAAGTCTTTCCTGCCAAAACCAGCGGTTACTGGCAAAAGTGTACTCTGATCTAGTAGTTATATATAGATATATTTGTGAAATTCCTACATGTAACATGTAGTACCTTAAAGTTAGTTATTTATGGTTGAGACATGAAGATGGCATTGCAAAACTTTGTACTTTTTGTGAATATCCTCTTTATGCACCTTGAGTGTTCGAACAGCGAGCTAACAGGCTGGATTCATGTGGTGCAACTTCAGAAGGTATTTGTTTTCCATAAGGGTGTCTCTGTAGCCAAAGACAAATGTCGCAATATTAAAAAGTACTCAACGAAGTTGTTTTCTTGATTTGATCGTGGTTTTTGTAACAGTAATGTTGATTGGAAAGTGTTGAACCAGGCCTTGAAAAATTTCTGCCTTTATCAAGCCTAAAAATGATGACGTTGGGTACTAAGTTTGGTATCTGACTTCTTATACTAGGTGGTGAGGCCTGGTATTATTCTGCTTCAAACAATACACTTGCAGAAGTTGTACTATGTAAAGCCAGCCCATATAGCACAACCATCCTCCTAGCGCGTTTAAAGGGAAATGCCACTTATTTTCAGGGTTCAGGAATGGTAACCCCTAGACCTGCTATTAAAGTGCACAGTGGTTAAAGGCTCATTTGTAAAAGATTCAATTGAGTTTCAACAAACAACAAAAATACATTTGGTGTCAGTTTATAGTTTGTGTCCTTCATTATGTTAATAAATGATTAAAAACACTATAAATTAATGTTTAGCTTGTATTTTAGAAAACGAAGCTGCACCAGACTATCACAAAGCTGTCTATTTGTCATTTATTCTCTGAACGTGTTCATGAATTTTTAAACTGAGTGGTATTACTCTTTAACAAGGCTAATTATGTGAGCCTGACCTTGTCTCCTTGGTGGTGCTGTTAAAGATGCATATATATATATTTCTTTGTAATGTTTAGCTAGAACCGTAATATGTAGACATAAAGAAAAAAAAAACTGTTGAATGTGTTTTGCCCAAAATTATTTTTGGGCTTTGCTGACTTTGTTTTTCATGAAAAAAGACGAGGCTACGTTAGGCCAGCTGTCTGTTCATGAGAAGGTGAAACAAACTGCCTAAATGTTTCTTCATGTGAAACAATCAGATTGCAAGGCTGCTGTCAAGGTTGTTTCTGGCATTTGGCTAAAAGTTTGCGTGCCATCCTTTCCCTTTGAAATAATTGAATTGATCTATGCTCCAAAAACTTTGGAAAACTTTGCAAAAACACTGAAGCGCTGTATGCTACAAGAAACTGCTCTAAATAAAACAACAACAACAACAAAAATTGGCTTTATTGCTAATTGTAGCACCAAATTAAGATCAGTCATTTGCCTTTTTCACTTAGAAATATTTAACCTTATTGAGGTCCATATTCAACTCATGTTGAATATGGACCTCAACTGGAATAGTCCATTGGCCATGAGCTAAATTGTGCGTGTACTCAGTAACTGTAATGTAGGATGTAGGCCACAGCATAAATCCACCAAAAAGCAAATGGTCTGGGTTTGTTGTTATGTTTTGTGTTAAATCTGGAAACTTGTTTGGCAATGGACTACTTCCAGGATAAAAATAAAAACCTCATTATTTTTGCTAAATACTTTCAATGTACCAATCTTTCTTCTTTTTTGTTGTTGTTGTTGTTGTTGTTGCTTTGGATAAATGTTACAGACCATAATGGTGGTTTTTAATCCTCTCCCTTCCTTTCTAAGTGCCGCAAACAGCTAAGTTACAAATGTCTAGAATTGACTTTTGCTTGTTGATACAAATTGTATCTATACCTTGAATGTAACAAAATATGAAATGTATAATATGAAAATAGTTTTGTTTAAATAAAGGGGGAAAAAAAACAATGCCATAATGTTTGTGACACTGTGTGTCACTGGGAGTAGCCCACTGGTATGTACTTATTCTTATACTGGGTACAGTAGTTAAATTACAGGGACATTTATGTGCTACATAAACGTGCACAGATACCCTGTGTACAGCAGTAAGCATCGTGTCCTCTCTGTACATAGTGTTATATATATATGTATATATATATATATAAACATAAATAAAAAATTACATTAAATGTACACTGCTGTGAAAAAGTATTTGCCCTCTTAATTCTTTTTTTGATTTTGGATATTTGTCATATTTAAACATTTCAGATCAAACAAATGTGATTTAATGTAGTTTTTAAATGACGATTTTGTTTATTCAATTTAAAAAGCTAGCCAAACCTGCCTTTGGCTTAGTACATTAAATAGTCATTTAAAAAACTGCTTTTTGTATTTACTTGGGTTATCTTTGTGTAATATTAAAACTAGTTTGATCATGTACCTGTGACAAATATAAAAAAAAAATCAAGAAGGGGCAAATACTTTAACAGCACTTTTACAGCGCAATCTGTAAATGTAACAGGTATTTAACTTGTTTTAAGTAAAATAATTTTGTGTTGTAAACGTGTGCATCTATTTCATCTGATCTGATTTGTCTTTATGCTATTTAAATGGGAATTT